CACACACACACACACACACACACATGCCCCCACCTCCCACCCCTGCAAACTCCCCTGCATCCTGGCATTTGCTGTCCTGAGCCCTGGCTGCTTCGCATGCTCCTACCCCCTCAGGCGCTCCCACCCTCTGGGGATTCCTATGGCTAAGAGGTCCCCAGTCCTGTTGTGTGCTTTCTGTGGAGGCATGTCTTTGTGCCTTATACTGCAGGGCATGGGAGAAACAGCCCCCACATCCAGCCATTACCTGGAAGACGGGGAGTACCCAAGGGAGCAGAAAACTGCAGAGCAGCTGGGTCTCAGAACAGCAAGTGCCAGGATGCAGGGGAGTCTGCAAGGATGGAAGGTGGGGGCAGCAGCCCCAGCTACATGCATAATCAGGGGTATAATCGGGGGTTGGTGGGATCCAGAGTGGTTTCTTGGGATCGGGGATCAGGGATCAGGGTCTGTGGAGGGGTTGGTAGGATTGAAGCAGGGAGGGGGAAGTTGGCTGGACAGTTCTGAATTTAAATTAATGTAAGCAAAAGAAAAAGGGCCCCTAGATCAGGGGTGGGTAAAATGCAGCCCACAGGCTGGATGTGGCCCACTGGGCCATTCCATCTGGTCCACAGAGCCCCTAAAAAATTAGAAAATTAACATTAATCTGCCCCTAGCTGCCTGTCATTTGGCCCTACATGGCTTACCAAAACTCAGTAAGTGACCCTTCGCCTGAAATAATTGCCCACCCCTGCCCTAGATCATTGCCCCTGGTCTACATTAGGAACTCCTTGTGCTCCATCCCATAAAATCTGCTGAATTAGACACTGGGATAATTCCTCACTTTGTTCTTATCAGTTAATAAACATGGATGAACTAAGTCTGCATACACCCACAGTAATTTGGATACACAAAAATTACTATTAGGATGTTTTTTAACCCATTTACAGTATTTCAAAGTCAGTATTTTTTGGTTCCCTGTGTTTTAAATAAATCAGCTTTTCCAGACCATAAAACAGCTTCAAATTTCAAAGTGGATATATTTTGAATGATACATATTGTAATGCATACAAAAAACACACCCTTTTGGCTGGGAAGTGATAGCAGCTTCAAGGTATCCAACACTAAGTTCTTTGAATCAAGTAAGAATCTCTGCCATCCCCTGCTCTTGGCACCCCTGCCTTCCTGTTTGTGTTTACAGCATGTCCCATCCCCTCCCATTCCTCCCTTACCCTCTCCACTTACTCTTCTGGGCACAGGAAGGGATCAGGGAGATCTTCCTGCTGCTGCCACTGTCCCAGGTATTCCTACTCCACTCTAGCCAGGGCTGAAGGAAAAGGCTGCATGGGGAGCTATTTCCTCTTTCTGTCCCTGTTCCTGACCTGTTGGGGAACACCACTGGGGCAAGGGGTAGGGAGTAGGAACCTGCCTCCTGCTGTTGTCCCTGCTGAGCCCAGCTCTAAGCAGCCCAGCTGGAGCAGGGCAGCAACAGCTCTAGAGCTCCCCCTGCCCCTGGGTCAGCCAGAAACAGTGGTAGGCAAGGTAGATGGGAACAGAAGGTAGGTGCCCTGTTCATGAAGGGCAAGAAAAGGCATGAGAGCAGGGGGTGGGAGGGGATTTTTACCTCCTTCTCAGACTTAAAGACACCAGGCTCCTATGATCCACAATGGATCACCGTGATCCAAATGGGGAGGGGGGTACAACCATGCCACTTCACCTGCTCTGGATTGGCCCCTTGCCTACACATATTTGATTCTGCACTAGAGCAAAGGGATGCACTAGATGACTTCTTGAGGCCCCTCCTACTCTTACATTTCTCCTATTTCTGAATTACAATTTGTTTTCTAATTTGAATTAACTTCTACAGAATTTTCTTTTTGGTGATTCAAATGAATGATGATTCAGGGAGTCTGAATTCTCCATCTCTCAGAAGTCAAAGCAAACAAGCACATCAGTAAATAATACGCCTGACTAACAAGAGCCTTGCTTTATTTTCTGTCCAGTAAAATATTCCACATACTGCAAAGACAGTAAATGTCAAAGCTATTGTGTTGCTAAGAACTTCAAGAAAACAGTATGTTTGAAGAAGTTATTTTAAAAAATAACAGTGCAAAGAGTTTGCATAATTGAGCAGTTCATTCAATTATGCTTTGTATTTAATGATACTATACCTTTTCGCCTTTTTTACCCTTAGCACCTGGAACACCATCATTCCCCTTAAAAAAACAACTCTAATATATTAACATTTTATTTTTGAGAATGGTACAATAAGATTCAATTCTTAAAAACATTTTTGTGATATTATCAAACTCTTAGTACTCTCACCACTTACCACGCCATTTGCGAACTGTGTTTCTTCATCATGATCTTTGCTGATAAGCAGCTTTTATATCACTTGTCTCAAATACATTTATTTAATTCTCATGCCAGGAATAATAAATAGCATCTCAATAAATTCTGGTACCTAGCACTTATCCAGTGGATTTTGTCAGTACACCCCACAGCAACTTCACAAAGAAGGTCAGTATCATTATTTCCATTGAATGGATGGAGAAACAGCCACAGAATGATGCAACAACTTGCCTGAGGACATCCAGAATTCTGCTGGCAGAACCAGGAATAAAAGCCAGATTTTCCAGACTTGGATAACAGGTATAATTGGGCAGTTCTGCCCCTCTGAGCAGTGGTGGTGCACAAGGCAGCAGCAGCCGCCAAGCCAACAGTATGGCGACACCTACTTTTGTGTATCCTAAATAGTTAACCTAAATGTTATTGCCAATCTAAGGCAATTAACATCTAATATTTACTGAAAAAGAAATTTTAGAAATGACTTGCTACTTTTTATTTCAGTTTATCCCCATTTAAAAGCTTCATTATGTTGTTCTATTTATAGATTCCCTGTTTGAGCCACTGAGTCACATGCTGTACCTACTCTTCCCCAACTCCTTTTTTGAGCTAGTTGTCAACTAACTTTTACCCACTGCTAAAATAAGATTTTCACAAGCATGCAAAAAAAAATCTTACATTTTACAAGTTCTGTGTGCAACTGTTTCACATTCAATTACCAGATTTGCTGTGGGGAAAATATAATCTTTCATATGCACAGCATCAAGGCTATTTTAGAAACAGAACCTTTACTTCTCTTTAACATCATAATGGAATTAATTAAATGGATCTGCCAGTTTTAGTGTCAAGTTTTGCTTGGCTGTTACAGATCTATTCAGCAAGATATCACTTTCATGTAAAGAGCACAATAAATTGCAACCACTTGGAACAACTCTTCTACTCTGCAGGGGACAAACAACACCCCAAAGTAGGTAGAAGGAACAAGAAAGTTGTAAAGTACCAGATATATCATCTCCATGCACCAGTGAGCAAAACTGACATGATGCAGGGGCTAAGCATGCTGGACAAAGAAGAGTGGTAGCAAGCACACACTGGTGCTTCAGTAATCATTATAGGTGATGTGTCCCCTTCCTGGTCATCCAGGTATCTAGATTTGGTCATCTGTGTGGCATTTCTGGTCATCTAAGTGCCAAAGATGCCACTTACATGTAGGCAGCGATTGTATTCCTGGCCATATAAGGCCAGATGAGTATGTAGTTATCCACATGCACAGACTGGACATGCCTACTGGCTGTATACTTAGACAAGCATGCCCATGCATCCCGGGGCAGGCAATTATTTGGGGCGGAGGGACGCTTACTGAGTTACAGCAAGCTATCAAGGGCTGCATGACAGGCAGCCCAGGGCAGATTAATATTAATTTTCTAAATTTTTTGGGGGGCCCTGCAGGCTGGATAGAATGGCCTGGCAGGCCACATCCAGCCCCCAGATCGCATTTTGCCCACCCCTGCTTTAGTTGCCTGAAAACATAGTCAGTCAAAACCCATGGCTTCCAGACTTAAAAATGAGAATGGCTTCCCTCCTGGGTTCTAGCCCTCTCCCACTCCTTCCAGAACACGATTTGTACCTGCATCTCTCTAACTTCTCAGCATAGCATGCAAATCACTACCCCAGGTCAGCCATCATTCTTTGTACTTTCTCTGGCACTCTTTCTGAAGCTGGGCCAGTATCCCTTGCATTTAATCTAATCATTAGAAAAAGAACGAAGGTTGACAGAGGGAAGAGTCCACTTCACCAGGACAAGAGCTCAGGGTAGAACCTAGGGTTCTCCCTCCCTGTTAGGCACTTCACCGAACCACATACCCTATAGCTCACTCCCTTCCTCCTGGTACAATAAATTTTCCACATATTTCCCTCTTGTAGCTTCCCAAGGGGTCAGCTTCAGCTTCAGATGGAGTGCCAGAGAGGGACAGTTAATTTGTACTGTGGTAGTGCTGTGCTCTCCTGGGAAGTCAGAGACACCCACCTTCAAAGCCCCTTTGGGTGAGGGGGACCAACAACCCAAGTCCTCTGGTTGCCCAGGTAAGCATACTAGCCATTCATCTACTGGAGGAAAAGATGGGAAGGCTTTCTAACTCATTTTATTGCCAGTACCCATTCCCAGTCTGCACATGTAGACCACTATGTATATGCACAGGCTTACATAGCCAGAAATAGAATTGCTATCTAGGTGTAAGTGGCATTCTTGACTTAGAATGACATTCTATTCCCTTCCTGGTCAACTAAGTGTCCAAATTCCTGGTCATCTTTCTCCTTGCAGCAGGATGCATCCCAATACCACCTTCACAACATTTTCCTATAGGCTATTCCTAAATACTACAATATAGTCTTTTTTCCCTGTTCAGATTCAGATCATGCTTTTCCAACAATACCAAAATGTGTTTCAAATTTTAAAAAGCTACAGTGTTTTGCATACCTACAAGTTGCATTTGTTGCTACACCCACACATATTTAAAATTGGAATTTTGACAACTTTCCATGTAGCTTCTAATTTTACTCCACATCTGTTTACCTCATTGAAATATAGTTCCCTTTCACTGTAATCCTAATCCGCCCAGGGGCTACCTTACAATTTTAAGAATCAAAGCAGAAATGTTTAATCTTACATTTAAAATAAGATTTCCAAGACTAAGTACAGACATTCGGCAGGTTAAATAAGGTTCAAATGTCCACCCAGTTTAAACTCTACCCATGGGTCATGCCTGCCTCTCTACCCTACTCATGGGACAACCTCCCCCCATTTCCAAATGAACTCCTGATCCCCTCCAGCCTGCTGGACCTTCAATCCCCTAGCTAAGCCATTCCATCCTGATTTACCTTATTTCAGAAGCCATTTTAAAAAAATTTAACCTCCCCCCACAACACCTCCAAATGCTCGTACTTAGCCTTAATGACAAAACATCTTAAGGTACCTTCAGTCCATGAGGTCCTGGCAGCCCTTCATAACCCTGAAGGGAGGAGGAGGAGGAAAATGAAGATTGTTACCTGTATATACACTACTTGACAATTAAAATTAGGGTCTGAATCCAGCATCCATTCAAGTAAATATAAAGATTCATCAGCTTCAATGGATGGCGGATCATGTTTAAATCTACTTACAGCAGCTCCAGAGGGACCAGGAAAACCAGGTCTACCACGAATCCCTGCAATACCTTTTGGACCAATTACACCCTGTGCAGAAAACATTGAATCATTGACAACTAATTAATCAGCATTTATTGCATGCTTATGGATTCTAATAAGGCTAAAAAGAAACTGAAAATGTCACTTTCTCCCAGGAACTAATTGCTTGATTATGTATGGAGGTGTTTATGGTACTCATTACCATTCCAATCAGTCTGCATAATCTACGCATATTTTTCTTCTGTTTGGGCTTCCCAAAGTACAGTCTCCTAAAAGACATATCTCAGAGTATTGTTTTTCAGTATTCAATAATAGCTACCCCTTGAAATACCCTATTAACCTTAAGTATATGGAGTTTCTCAGAAGGACCTCCAAGTAAATGTAGCTGGAAAGTGTGTACATATATCTGTGAACATATGTTGTATGTTCACCCACACCCTTAAATCATAACATACAGAATTTGGCCATATCTATCTTAATCCTCACAAGTAACAATCCATTTGCTACATAATATGTCCCCATAGTCTTTCTAGTTCTTATACCAGTTACAACTAACAAGCTTGGAACTACACATAGTTATTGTTGTAGCATTTTCACTTTCATAAACAATGGAGAGTTAATGTCCAGTCATATTTAATTAGATTGAAGAATAATGTATCTCCTATTTATGTCTTCTTCCAAACAAGATTTATTTCAATACATTGTTTGTCTATATTGAATGATGTTAAATATTAAAAACATACTATTACATTAGCACATGAATCAAGAAAACGACAGCTGCAATAATTTTGGTCTGTTGTTTAAAAATTAAATATTATTTCAGAGGGGCAAATTACATACTGGACAGAGGACTGCAAGAAGAATTAAAGCACATAAGTAGCTAATTATGGATGTTTCTTTTTTGGAATGTTAGAAAGTTTGTAGAAATGTTACAATCTGTTTAGCCTGTGCCAACTGAAAATAATTCTCTAGCTTTGTTTTTCCCTCAAGCACTTACCCCTACAGGACTAGAAAATATAGCACTGGAAAGGACTTCCTATAAAATCTAACCCAGTCCTCTGCTGTCATAGTATTCCTTTAATACTTTGTAAAGCCTTCATCTTGAAAGCCTGTTGGGAACTATCTGGTCCTCATCACTTGAATATATAAAGTTCTTACATTAAGACATTTGCTTCTGTCTCAATGATAGATAGGCAGCCAAACCTACCACAAGCATTCCGTACATGCTTTTCACTGTCACCAACAAGAAGAAAATTACTTTCCTATGCCACCTCAATGTGTTCTGTTACATGTGTCTTTGGTTTAGCTATTTTAGGACAGATCCTCTGCTGATTTAAATCATTATTGCTTCATTTAATTCAATTAAGAGAATTTCCACAAACTGAGGACCTTACCCTTTTCACTGCCTTTGTAGGGTAGAAGCTAAAGTGGCCTACATAGTTAAGATAGCTCTCCTGTTTACACAAGTTATCAGATAACAATTCAGTTTTCTTCTTCTGTACATTCACTGATTTAGCACAAATTTCTATTTTCAAAATACACTATTGAAACCATATCAATCTAGCAATAGATGACCTTCATGAACTTCAGCCTTTGAGTAATGCTAAGTTTAACCTGTGAAATGTGTGAATCTAAGATTTTTCTAAGTTTATCTAAACCTCCCTTGATTGGGCTGGAACTCTTCTGAGAAAAAGTTTGTCTGTCCAAGTTCAGTTCTTTCCTAGCTAACTAATAATCATCTGAGTATTTTAGACAGTGTATGTAGGCTGCAGTTTAACTCCTGTTTAATTGTACCCTTCCAGAGAAATCTCTCAGCCTGACAAAGAAAAGGATCCCGCTATCACGCTGAGAAACAATTTCTATTCTTCACTGCAGACCTTATTTTCTGGCAGCACAGTAACAGGAATACTTTTTCCATTCAGGCTAGGGACAGACATTCAAAAAGCTTAAGCCTGAATTGATTCAATCTTTGCAGGTTAGTCTAACCTGGCTAGACCGAACTGGTTTGTAACCTCACAGACATCCCCTCCATACTGTGAAAATGCAAGCACATGCACGCAATGGCTTAGACTAGAAGCTGGGGGTGCTAGAGCAGCCCTCCCTTCCTTTCTACAGAGCTGAGCTGATTGGGGGGTATGGCCAGGCCCCGGCAGGACATTCTGATTAGGGAGGTGTCCCCCTCCCTTGCTGCTCCTTTGACCAGTGAGAGAGCCAGCAGGGAGTAACACAGCATTTACTTACACACCCCAGAGTTACACAGCATTTATCAGTCCATCAGCAAAACAAAAGCCTCTCTCATAAATTCAAGCTCCTCTTAAACAACTTTTTTCAAGGAAGAAACAGAGGGACTTTACCAGCTACCTGTTGATTAGTTCCAAAAAGCCCTAAGCCAACACTGTCCTGCCTGCATTTGTCCTGCCTGCCTTACTCAGAAACCTCTCAGCATTAGCTAGCATACACTTGCTGGCTAATAGTTGGTGCTGTGGGAGAGAGGAGGGAGGGATCCCTGCTTGAGCAGCAAGTGGTGAGGGGCAGGGATGGGGCAGGGGGAAGCCAGAAAGATGCTGCTGTGCCTGCAGGTCTCTGCTGGAGCTCCTGCCAGGGAGCAGAAGGTGGGGCAGCTCTGCTGTGGAGCTGAAAGCCCCACCAAGGGCTGCAAAGCATCTGGGATGCTGGGAGACTCTGGCTTAATTTAAAAAGGCAGGGGTCTAGGACAGACATTGCATAAACCAGTTTGACACACGTCAGTTAAGTCTGATACTACATTCAACCAGTTTTATCTCAAACTGGTTTCAGCCATTTTCAAACTGGTTTATGTACACTGAATGCCTTTTCTGTTACAGATTCAAACCAGTTTCTGATCACTTAAACTGCTTTATGTATAATGTCTGTCCCTAGCCTGAGAGACCTCTAGCCCAAACCACAAAAGGACTTGAAGTTCTTATTACTTTAGCAAAAGGATTAGCTAGGAAGGAAATTGTATCTTTTTCTCTCTTCCTTCCAAATGAAAGTAAAATTGCAGCAATTTTGGTCACCTGCATCACTCCAAGAGTTGGGACAGAAATAAAGATGCAGCCTTTGTGTGTGGCACACAGCATATCAGGAAGGGAACAGGTAGTATCACAACAGATAAAGCATGGAACAGAAAGCAAGTATAGCAGGGAGTACAGGGAAGGAAGCAGAAAACAAAAAAGCAGACCAGGCAAGGAGCAGAAAGCTGGGAGCAGAAAGCAAAGCAGCAGATCCAGCAGTGGAAGGGGATCAGAATGGCACTTAGGGAGTGTGCAGGGCTTATTTGTGGCATGTCTGCCAAAAAGGTTGACCAGCACTGTTCTGGATAAACTAAATTTGGGCTTGGTCACTAGGACTGTGTGAAGCTTTGGTAGCTGATTTTATTTGGAGGAGATTTGGCCTGATTCAGTGACTGAATCTCCAAATCCAGTAGACCAATCAAATCTAGAGACCAATGAAAAGATTTGGCTCCATTTCAGAGATTTGGCCATAAGCCATAGG